ATTTTAACAGTACACGATCTTATGCTCAAAACCGTGTATATATATATATATACACACACACACACACACACACACACACGAGTACATTGCGTTTCTCTCCTCTTACTGATAATTTTGTGGCCTGCCCATGAACCTTGTCGTCAGGGCGCATCGTGTAGCTGACGGCGTCACGGAAAATACACTTGAAATTAAAGCAAATGCTGCCTTAGCGTGTTCCTCACGAAGCGTACTGTTCCTAGAATGGCTACTGCTATTATCATCCTCGTCATCATTTAGTGTCATATTTAATGACGCTTTATCAGCTATAAGGAGTCGAATGAAGCGAGAGGGCGATTATATGACGTGAACAATAATCGACTGAAACGGACTCCTGCAATCGCTTGGGATTACGAAATATAACGAAGGAAGCCAGACGGCTGCTGCTTAGTGCATTATTCGAACGGGTAACTCCCAAATATAAGTTCTCTGTGGTTCACACCAGCATCTCGTGTTACACAAGTTCTTGACGCGAACGTATCGGCGGAGGCGTCTATCCCTCATAACAAGACTGCACTCATGTGCCATCTGTGAGTCGTACGATCTACTACTTCAAATGAACAAAATGTATGGTCAACCTCGTAAGTGAAGCGAAGGCCTTGTTTCAAAGCGAACGAAAGTACGTTCGCTGGCCTTACGCTGGGAGGGGTCACAAGACAGGAAGTCAATTTGAAGGCAGTGCCCACGCCAGTAATTCTATTAACCTGTTTCCTGCCCAGACACCTGCTGGCGGGTGCTCCGTTCCACAGCACACACACAAAGAGAAGAAAACTCAGGCGTACGATCACAAAGCCAGTGCCAACAGTCCCCACGTGGTTTTCTGATCGCGAGGGCATGAGGCAAATGTTAATACGCTGCATATATAAACATATGGAGCCGGGGTACCTCAGTTGATATGGCGACGGGATACGGTGTGGATGGACGGGGTTCGGTTCACGGCAAGGAACAGATTTTCTTTACTCCACACAGTTCAGACCTGTTCTGAGGCCCACCCAGCCTCTTATCCAACGGGTACCTCTTTCCCCTGATAAAGCATCCTGTTCCTCTGTTCAGCCAATCACGGCTTCTTCACCCCCGACACAATGCCTGATGTGAGACACACATGAGAGTACCGCGAGACCCGCAGTGACTGTGCTGTTGTGGACAAGCATCAGTTTACCCGACCGATCGACTTGAAGTCATTAACCTTTAAGTTAGCGACTGCAAAGTTTGCCAAAACGTTTCAACACCTTCAATGTTCAACGTGCCCTGTTTCATTCTCGCAGCAACACCGTGTAGTTCAAAACATGCCGCTTCCATCTACACGGTCGTAGAGTAGCCGTAGAAAGTAACCGGCTGCAAGTGTTCTTTCCACAGAACAGAGCTGGGTACAGCAAATAGAAAAATTCTTTGACAGTGATAATGCCTTATGATATATAGCCGCCTGTTCAAGCTTGTTTCTGGCTTCGTTTACTCTTCAATCCTGAAGATGGAAGCCACGTTTCCACGAAATGTCCCGATTTCTCCGAACTACACGGCATTACAACCCAGAAGAAAGCGCTCGTCACACGCTAAGCTATGTTTAAAACTAACAGACCTGTGCGGGACAAGAAACGGTTTTAATGCGATAAGCCCGTCTTCCACAAGCATGAGGGTACGCGTGACGAAAATAACGGGTTCTAATTCCGATGCCTGGATTTGCTGGCACTTTGGTTACAATCTTTCTTAATCACACTCAATTATAACGCTATCGCAATTCTACACACGTTCACGTCACCGCTGCACACGCATTAGTGTCCTCCGTCTTCACTAGCCGTCTCCTGGCAACGGATCTCAATACAGAAACTAGCACTTAAAATCACTATGAAGTCTCCGTGCCATTTCTTGTTCAATCGCCCTGGAACCTCGGAACTCAACTAAAACTCTGGTCTAAGCCTAGCTACAGGCTGTTGTTATATAAACTCCGCAAGGACCACACAGAAAATACGGCCTGTATTGCTGATGAAGCTTGTTTACCGCTAGGTTACCTGGCAATAGATGCTATATTGTTGCGTGCTAGTATGCTGCGGGGATGTGTTTCAAGGCCCGTTGCCTAGCAATGGGCTTCTGCTTGTTCGTTGCTATTCCGGCTTTTTAGGCAGTGTTTACGTAGCCGTTCTTTAGAAACGGCCAATATCACAATATTTAATAAACTTCAATTAAGGCTAAATAATTTCACTGCTTTCAACGAAAACCTCTAGCCCACACGACAATGCGTGTATCAAGTCACAACAGAAAAAAAAAAAATATTTTGAACAGAACAATACACCATATAATTTTGACTCGGCGCGCTATAATAGACAGGCAAATTAATTTATTCCTCTTGAAATATGTAAAATATTTTCCGGGGCGCAAGGCTGACAAACTTACCGCCATCTATGAGCCGACTGTCTAGAGAAAATGTGGGAGCCTCGACGTCTCACAACTCATTGCGCCTTCACGGCCTGTTATAGGGATAGTTTTTTTTTTAACTTTATTTTCCTTTAAAAATCTCTTGTTGAACAGGAAGGGCAATATGGATGCTAATTAGTTGCTAGAAACGATGGTTAATAATTAAATTCTAAAGATGAAGAAGAGAAACAGACACAAATTCAAGAATTTCTGGTTAGTTATGCATGAATTGCAGTGTTTCCTTCAACGCGACGAACTCTTTCAAGTATCAGTCACACGGCAACATTTCTGCTCTGAGAACACCATTCTGACAAGCCGAATCAGGGAATGATGCATAAACAGAGGGGGGTAAGGCAGCAAACGCGCGGCTGAAAGTGAAAGCCACTGGAAAGGGAGACTTACTGTAGGGGGAGAAAGAGCATAATATTGTTAGAAGGTTCCCCCCTACTGATCAGGGCAGCGTGAAAGTATTAAGTTCACCTAAGGTAAAAGGTAAAGTTGTCCCTGTGCTTAACTAATTAAGCACTACGCCATGAAGGTGTATGGGCGAGTGGATGTATAGATCCACATTTTCTTAACCTTGCCACAAGTTGGAGGTGAGCGGTCAGCTTCACGCCAAGGCCGTTTTTCCCCGGGAGAAAGGATACCCATTGGACAGGAGCCTGGGTGGGCCCCAGACCCGGTCTGGATGACGTGCAGAAGAGAAAATTCTTGCCCTTACCGGGACTCGAACTGCGACCCCTTGGTCGTCCAGCCCGTAGCCAGTTGCTATACCGACTGCGCTATCCAGACTCCATTAAGTTCGCCTAAATAGTACTTTTTTTAAGGGCTAGTGGGGTGGGACTAAGTTCCTTGTACTGCGGCCACCTCTGTCCTATTGTACCAGCCCCAGATGATAGGTGAGGGTGATTGTGGAGCAACTGGTGGAATAAAGATTGGCAGGGGAAACCCAAGTACTCGGGGGAAAACCTGCCCCAGCGCCACTTTGTCCACCACAAATCCCACTTGACCAGAACCGGGATCAACCCCGGGCCGTCGCGGTGGGAAGCCGGCGACTAACCGCCTGAGTTTATGGCACGACCCTCCATGCAACATCATAGACACTGCTGTACTTGAAGTCACGTGTAACAATAGGACAAACTGCGCGCCACTTGCTCTGGCTAACGTCAAGCTTGTTATACTGGCTCAAGGATCTGTGGCTGTACACAGGCCTGGAGGCTTCTCGAATGTGTGCCCCAAGAGCACGAAACGCGGACTGTGTCTGTTTCACGAGGAATTATACGGTGACTGGCATCTGTCATGCTGAAGTCCATACCTTAATCCAAAGCAGGATGTGCTCATCCGTCCACAGTCTCTTCTAAATTTAAATTTTTCTTTCGTTGGCACTACATCCCCAGTGGGTCTAGGCCTACCTCCATGAACTTCTCCGCCAAGATTGAATTAGGGACATCAATATTGCGCAAATACATTTTATTTAGTGACACATTCTATAAGACACTGTAAACGTATCTCAAGAGTACTATCTTCTGGGATATAAAGCCGTACAGTCCGTTGAAAGTCAATGGACGTTTCGGAGGAAAAAATCGCCTCCATCTTCAGTGTCGAAGAATAAGCTAAGCAGGAAACCAGCGTCAAAGCAGGTGGCAAGCAGAACGATATGTTCCTCCGAAACAACTGTCGACTTTCAACAGACTGTACGGCGTTATATCTTCATAACCACCTCTGTGAGAACCTCAAATCCTATATATTAGTACATTTTTGTCGCTTTCAATAGCAAAGTTGATAAAAATGCGCCCATCAGCTTCACTGTGTCTGTCCACATGTAACAACTCGGTAACTGCTGAAGGAATTTTAATTAATTTGATACTTGAGAGTTCAACCTAAGATGTACAGGACAATTACAATTTTGGTTAAAACCAGCTAACAACAGGCACTGAACACAGACACTTAACAAACGTCTCCGATAGCACGTGCATTCATATTCACACTTCAATCCTGTTAAGCGTCCTCGATACGACATCGGTGCTCAAGTACGAAAGGTTCTATTGAGGTGATCTGTTCCGAACATACACACTTCGCGTCGTGGATGTCAGTGCTTCCAACAACTGAAGCACCTGAGAGTTTGTGACGACGGCATATTAATACAATTACTGTGTTTCTGGACATTATCCATCGCCCTGTCTTTATTTAAAACACACAACGTTTCGGAAACTTGATTCTGTCTCCGTCTTCAGGTGGAACCTGAATCGATAGTGCTAGTCTCTATCTCCGGAGTTTTTTTTTATGTTTGTCTTAACTCTGGCAGATGGTTTATATAGCCTGCCTTTTGTTGGTGCTGGTGTCCGGAGATAGGGACTAGCTATAGCGATTGGGCCTAGGTGAGTAGGTTCCAACGGAGATAGAATCCACCCCCCGAAATTTAAAAACAGGACGATGGATAATGTCCAGAAACACAATAACTAAAACTGCCCCACCTGAGTCAACTCAGATTACCTTACCTTTGAGGCGAATCTAATGACAGGCAGGTACACATAGAATTATAAGTTGGCTCTTACCTTTATTGGGCTGACTGCTACCAAATCCCGGAAGACGAATCCAGCCCTTCCGTCCAAAAAATCCGTGGTGTTGGTTCTGTTGCAGTTCATTCTGTTTATTTTGATGCTGGGCTTTACAACTATTTGTAGGTTCCCGCGTTCTGCTGAGTCTGAGACAACCCGCGCCACTCTTGACCGCCCGACGATGTAACAATGGCGAATAAACACGTGCAGACGTTGCACTGACAGGAACATTGGCACCCGCGGTCTGGGAGAAGCTCTGGGAAGATCCCGAACCATTCTCACAGGCGTGTCTTCTGAGACTGTTGCCACTCAAGACACTTGCACCGCTACTGCCACTAAACCCGTAACTGGTCCCTGAACTACCACTGAAACCACTATCATGATCACCGATGCTACAACTTGCTGGCGACAAAAGTTCATCGGTAGGTCCGACAGACAGCAACAAGTCTTCCAGTGAAAAGGGGGGGCCAGAACCCTTATCGTCCGTAGTCTCTTCATCTTTCGGGGGTGGAGGCGGCATCAGCATGGCTTCAACTGCCAGGTTGAGCTCCCCCAAGACACGGCGGTGTCGACATTGCACGCGCCTGACCTCTTCCTCCAAAACGCTTTGGTTTAGGGACAGCTGAGATTGGTGATTGTCGCTACGCTGCTGCTGCCGACGGTGGTGATGAACAGGGTCATCCTGTTCTGCCAGACGTGAACACTTTGCAGCGACTTCGGTTATCTCCTCATAAATATTCTCCTCAGTACCGTAGCGAGTCACATAAGTGTGTCTGCTGTTCCGCTCACTGTGCGGATTGGCGTTAGTGTTGTTCACCACAAAATTGGCATGACTTGTTGGAGGACCGGGTTCATAATATGCATACGAATATTCAGCGCCTTCTGGTTCACATATCTCAACCAGCGGACAAACACTGCTCTTCAGTCTACGGTTTTCGTCATGCTGCATCTCCATATCATCCACTGGAGAATGGAAATGTGTCCAGTTCACTCGACCAACATCAGAGAACTGGCCAAATTCATCTGCCATTTGGCGCAAATCACTCTCGCGATGGCCACAGCGATTTACATCTATAGATCTGACTGATGGATGAAGTAAATGGGATGTTGATGATGATGACAGAGTGGGCGAGTACTCCCGAGGAGCACATTGCCTTCGGAAATGAGACTCCTGGATGTGGTACGGAGGAGGCGATGTTTCACCATCACTGTTACCCACAGACTGTTCTTCTTGTTCGTCCGGGGGTGGATAAGGTGGAGGTGGAGGAAACTGAAGATATGGTCGCCGAGGATGTGGTGGAGGGGTTCCGTATCGGACCGAGTAGACAGCCTGAGAAGCATCGCCCGCTGGACCAAATCTGGTGCCTGAAGAATCCATCCTGCATCGTGTCACTGGGTATTCAAGAAATCAGATTCAGTACCTGAAACAAGAAAACGCTACATTAGAGGAGTAGGAAACGTGATACAACGTACTCGGGTACACTTTGTACAGTGAAAACCCTCTTGTTGGAGTAATGCGCAGCGAGTAGCTACCGCGTGTCCTTAATAAACAAACTACGGACGCAATTATTTGTAATTAACTTAACGGCGCAGTAATTTATGTTTGTATTGGAGGCTTTGTGGGCCCCAGAGCCGGTCTTGAAGACGTTGAGAAAATTCTTGACCAAACCAGGACTCGAACTCCGACCCCTCGGTCGTCCAGCCCATAGTCAGTCGCTATACCGACTGCGCTATCCCTCTCCTATTACTCATACTAAAAGAAAATCAAATATGTGTAGATTGCTTATTGGGAGACACGCAGTAGCGTAGTTTGTTGAGGCACTATGCTACAAACCGGAAGGTCGCGGGTTCGATTCCCGATGAGGTCACTGCATTTTTCAATTGACCTAATCCTTGCACCCGCACTATGGCACTGGATCAGACTCAGCCTCTAGCAGAAATGAGTACCAGGAATCTTCCTGGGGCCAAAGGGCGGCCGGCGAGTAAGGATGACATCAACGCCATCTGTCAGCCGACTGTCTAGAAAATATGGGAGCCTCGACATCTCACAACCCTATGGGACGTCACAGAATGGCCAAAGGAACAGTTTTACTTTTTTTTTAACTATATGCTTCGCTTCATAACATGCATGTCGTCGCAACAAAGTCAAAAACTCAATTACATCTTTTTAAATTGCGGTTATGTTTAAAGAACTATTGCTAACTTATGCACAGCATCCCTTCTGATGGTCTCTAACACTTGCGGGAAAACTGTAGTAAACATGAAATTATGTTTAATTTCTTTCTACTTGTATGTGGTTTTTAAACATTTGTTCTCTCTCATAAACAAGTGGCGTTGGCACAGAAAATCGCTTACATCTTCCGGTAAAAGCGGTCGTTACATATGTTAGATCTATATGAAAAACTGAATGGTTCGAATTTTTGTAAAAATTCTCCAATGCCAAATTTCATGAAAATCCGTCCAGCAATTCTCGCTTTATTTCATATGTACAGGTGGATGGACGACTTAGTCGAATGAGAATTGGCAGGGAAAACCTAAGTACTCAGAGAAAACGCGTCACAGTACCGCTTTATTCACCACAAATACCATATAACATGGCCTGGGCTCGAACCCACCTTCTGGGATGTGGCTCCGAATAATCTGAAAGAATTTTGCCGACGTTTCGGAGAAACATACTATCTCTATCTTTTACGGTTGAAGGACTACTTGGTGCTTGCTTCCTGCCGGTTCCTTGAGTTACTATGCAACCCCGAAGACGAAGGCAGTACGACCCTCCGAAACGTCGGTANGACGTTTCGGAGTAACATACTATCTCTATCTTTTTAGGGTTGAAGGACTGCTTCGTGCTTGCTTCCTGCCGGTTGCTTGAGTTACTCTGCAACCCCGAAGACGAAGGCAGTACGACCCTCCGAAACGTCGGTAATCTTCTACTAGACTACATGGCGTTACATCCCAGAAAACAGTACTCTCCATAATCACCGGAGTGAGTATGTCAAACCCAACGCTCCTTTGGTTTTCTCGGTGCCACAGCCCGATTCCAGACGTCCTAACTCCTCTTCATACTGGCTGCAGGGCTTCTGCGATACGAGAGAAGCCCAGGGTAAGGTCTCTCTACCTTCAGGCAACGCAGAAATACCTACGACCCGTGTGGCTTCAGACCCCACGATCTCAACCAGGGAGCGGCTACAGACATAGCCATCCCAGTCTGAATAATGTATTGGCTTCATGGAGCTGAGCCCTTCTTGAGAAGCCGCCAGTTGTGCAGCTACTCAAGAATTTCCTACCAATTTATGGAACCCGAAAGTTCATTACCGTGTTCACAATAGCCTTCCACTGGTCCCTATCCCGAGCCAGATCGACCAAGTCCATACCATCCCATCCGATCTCTCTAAGATCCATTTTAACATTATCCACCCATCTACGTCTTAATCTTCCTAGTCGTCTCCTCCCTTCTGGCTTTCCCACCAATATCCTATACGCATTCCTTTTCTCCCCATTCGTGCTACATGCCCTGCCCGTCTCATTCTCCTTGACTTGATCCTTCTGATTATACTTGGCAAGGAGTACAAGTTATGAAGCTCCTCATAACGTAGTTTTCTCCAAGCTCCTGTCACTTCATCTCTCTTCGGTCCAAATATTCTCAACACCCCGTTCTCAAACACTTTCAGTGTATGTTCCTCCCTTAATTTCATAGACCAAGTTTCACACCCACACAGAACCACAGGCAAAATTATAGTTTTGTATATTCTAATTTTTATGTTTCTGGACTGAATGGTAGCAAGCATTACCCGAATTCAATCTCCTCTTAATTTCACCCTGAATCGACTTTTGATCTGTTATTGTTGTTCCGAATATCTGAACTGTGCCATATTTTCAAAACATCTGTTAGCTATATTTATGCCATGATTTTGCGCTGCATTCTCGTGATGAGACTGTACAATGGACAGTCTTCGCATATCCCTAAGAAGTTTTTGACACCATTCACTCCAATCACCAGCTGTTCTACTGTGTATCCACCATCTCCATGACTTGCCGAAATATGCTGCAACTTTTTCCTTTCCATTCTACTGGTACTGTCGTTCCATCAACTGGACTTTGCCTTCAACCACGGGCTGCGATGTTCCTCACCAAATTACAATGACCGCACGTGATATATCAGGCAACCGTTATACAAGTTTCACTACTCGCATACAAAACAAAGCGAATCTATTACAGCTTTTGAGTAACAGTGGAATAAGTGAACACAGATGAAGTGGAGCTAAAATCCTGTCGGGTGACCAGTCGTGCCAATGTTGGCTTAAAAATGAACTTTTAGGGGATTTTCTCCGTCTCCATCAACAGGGTCGAACCTAGTGATGGATACGTTTGTTGTTTTAACACAATACTGACAGGGTTGATCTCCAGGGAACTTGCTAGCACATTCATTCGTCCTGAAAGCTTCACATCTTCCACAGACGAAGTTGTCTTCGGCCATTCGCATTTCAGGTAATTCGTTTAGTGGAGGGTGGAGTCCAACTGGGTCCACTTGGCACGACCGCCACTGATTGGCCTATTGTGGCCTGCCCCGGGTGATTATGATGGATAATTTGGTGGAATGAAGATTGGCAGGGGAAACCGAAGTACTTGGAGAAAACCCGCCCCAGGGCCACTACGTCCACCACAAATCCCACTTGACCAGATCCGGGATCGAACCCGGGCAGCCGCGGTGGGAAGCCAGCGACTAACCGCTTGAGCTATGGCGCGGTCTCGCATTTCTAGTAAATGTTGATGGCACATTTCAACTTTATGCTTCTTTTTAATACTGAAGTTTTCCAGTCAAACCTCGCGGTATCTCGTACATGTGACACAAGCTCCAAACACTCCGTCTTCCTTCATCTGATATGCTGTGTACAGGTAAACGGCAAAGCTATCCCTGCAACAGGCCGTGGAGGCCATTGGGTTGTGAGACGTTGAGGCTGCCACATTACGAGCCGGTACGCTGCCCTTCACCCCCAGGAAAACTCCTGGTACTCATTTCTGTTAGAGGCTGAGTCGACCCCAAGGCCATAGTGGGTCTGGAAGAATTAGGTCAATTGAAAAATGCAATGACCTCAACGGGAATCGAACCTTCGACCTTCCAGCTTGTAGTATAGTGCATCAACCAACTACGCTGCTGCGCGCACTGCTGCACAGACACACAACCTTTATTTGCATCTCGTTAAATATATACGGCAACACAAATGTATCGAATTAATCAAATTATCCGAATGAGATATTCGTACAATTCTGCATCATATCCGAGACTTCTTGTTCAACGGACGGTTCTCAGACCTTACACACGCTCCCACTTGAGGCGCAAATAACGCAAACCTACAGGCAGTCATGCGAGGAAATTAAGAGCAAAATTAAACTCGGGCATTGCTTGCTATCATTCAGTTCATTAGTATTTTATAGTTCTGTATGAGTGTAAAATTTGATCTCTGGCATTAAGGGTGGAACACATACTGTGGGGGTGTTCGTGAACACGGTGCTGAGGAGGGTATTTAGACCCAAGGCGGACGACATAATTAATAGAAGGCTAGAGAAAACGCATAATGAGGAGCTTTGTAACTTGTACTCTTCATAAGACAAAATTACAATTATCAGGTCAAGGAGGGTGAAATGGGCATGGCATGGAGGACGCACGGGGAAGAAAAAGAATGCATATAGGGTTTTGATGGGAACACCAGAAGGGAAAAGCCCGCTACGAAGACTTAGACGCAGCTGGGAGGATAATGTGACATGACGCCTGAAAGCCGCAACAGTGGAGGCAGAGGCAGGGGCCCATTGCTAGACAACAGCTCGGTAATCGTGTTTCCACAGCAACGAATATGACTGAAGAAGCAATGCACTACATACAAAGTCACGTAGATTCCTAGGCAACGCATACAGAAACGTTTCCGTTCACACGGCAACGAACCTCCAAAGTACAGTAACAGCGAAGGATGCAATAACTCCACTGCTGAAGGAAGTGGTCTCCATACGGTTCGACCAAAACCTACCTTAGGCAGAGAACTGACCAACAGAAGATAGAAGACACAGTCATAAGAAGAAGTCAGAAGTGAAATCTTTATTTTATGTGGTGTAGTGGAAGTAAAGTAAAAGTAAAGCTATCCCTGTACCAGGCCGTGAAGGCCCATCTGGTTGTGAGACGTTGAGGGTCCCACATTATCTAGACAATCACCTCAAAGATGGCGGTAAGATTGTGAGCCTTACGCGCCGGCCGCGCTTTACTCCCAGGAAAACTATTTAATTAATTCGTGTTACTCATTTCTGTTAGAGGCTGAGTGAACCCCAGGGCCATAGTGCGGCTGGAAGGATTACGCCAATTGAAAAAAAATCCAATGACCGCATCGGGACCTGAACCCGCAACCTTCCGGCTTGTAGCATAGCCCCTCAACCA